TGAAGCTGGTGTGGTGGTTAATGGTGGATACGTTCGGTAAACGCCAGAAAACTAAACATTTCAGGTAGAGTTTCAGAGCTTTTGGCGATCGACAATGATCTTTCAGTCGGCCCGCGAATTCTCTGTAAGAAGTGTTTTAATCGAACGATATGAGGCAACTCTCAGGAGTTAACCTCCTTTAAAGAGCGGTATCATGAAAATTTATTCCACTGGAAAGCAGACGAACAGCATGCGCGACTAAGCGATGTTCAAGCTCTCCTGGTTTGGGCATCAAGAAGTCTCGCGGTGCAGCTAATGTGCAGATATCAACAAGCCTTCGGCCGCTAAACGTCCTTGCGGCGAATAAAATTAATAATGCCATCTGTCTGCTCGGCGCTTAATTCGTCGACACCGTCGAACGTTTTTAAAACTATCGCTAAGGCCTCTTCAAGTGCTTTCTCCAACTTCCATCAGAATCCGCGATTATTCAACAACATGCAACAACAACAATCACTGTTCTATCGATCACTGTTCTATCTCTTCATCGCCTCGTCATTCACAGGCTTTTTTCCCCGCAGCGTACTATTCTTGTCAACCAATCACAGAGACCATTAGATTCAAAATACCTTAGGGAGTCGTTAGGAGCCAATCAGCAATCTAGTCCAAATTCTGGACTAAATCCATTTAAGCAGGCTTGCCATTGGCTCGGCGTTATCAAAGCAATAGCGCCCTGCTCCAGAGGCTTTTCGCGCGGGCCATAAGAGAGATTTGAAACCGGAAACCGCGCAAGAAAGCCTCTGGCACCCAGGGTATCATCGAACGAAATCGAACACATATTTTTTTTGTGAGTTCGATTTCCGAACCAAATCGAATGTCATCGTTCGATTTTGTTGTTTTTTATATTTATTTCTTTATGGTCATCCCGGGTCTCATTAGCACACTGTGACAGGCAACTCAGTCCTGTAAAAAATGACCCAAAGGGCAGATGGAATCTGAATCTATTATGTATTTTATAATCAAGAGCTCAAAAACCGAACGTTCGATTTTGTTCGATTCGCAATTTTTTTTTGTGCAAGTTCGATTTCGTTCGATGACCGAACTAATCGAACGTTCGATTTTGTTCGATTGACAATTTTTTTGTGAGTTCGATTTCGTTCGCTGACCGAACTAAATCGAACTCAATCGTTCGATTGAGTTCGATTTCCGAACGTTCGATGTGATACGCCGGATTTAAAAATTATTCAATTTGAAAGAAACAATTATCTAGAGTAACGGCACATGGTCTGAAATGGGACACAAACAAACCAACCTAAAGAGGTCCATTGCGGTAAGCTTTTTCCGTATAACTCGATTTCCTTCGTGTCACCCTTTGTGTCACAAAAGATCCGTGGTGAAGGGCTAAAAACATTCCATCAACAAACAAAGGAAAACGAGTAGAAACGCAACGAGTCAAAGCGGTATTCTTGGTTTGCAACTGACGTCATCGCCGCCATGTTGGATGATCATTAACAAAGATTTCTAATTAGCTTTATTGTTCCTGTCATCCAACATGGCCGCCAGGGTCTTTGTCATTTAAATCTCTCGGGAATGGTTGCAAACCAGCAATTACGGGAAAACAACTATCTCTTATATTTTATTAATAACAATTGCGAGACAATGTTAACCAGAAAACCCGCCGGTGTCAAACCTAATGGCCTTGTAGTGCTTCTATATGTACAAGGTATTTCTGAAAGAATTGGTCGTGTTTTGAAACAACAACAGTCGGTGTGTCGTACAAACCACAAGTAACCATCAACAGCCTTTTCCCACGCCCTAAAGCGCAAGACGATTCTGACCGTCCACAATCTGCATAGTATATAAAATCAGTTGCACACAGTGCAATTTTGTATACTATGGCCACAACTCTAAAGTTGCTTGCCATGTCCACAATTTAAAACCATCACATGGATTTTAAAAACGTTAACGTTGTTGGACGTGAGGCCAAATACCACAAGCGACTCTTTCTTGAAGCCTGGCACTCTACGACAGACCCAGAGGCACTTCTTAGTTTTTCTTTCAACGAACTGTAACTTTATTTTGGCAAAATCTTCATATGGAAAAAATCTATATTATCCATGAAACTTTCTTATGTGAATATGTAGTCCCAGTATACACTGTACGTACAGATGACTGTAGAAGCAGGCTTTCCTTGTGATACCTTACTGTTTAAGAAAGGGGGGGGGCGCTTATTTGCTATTTTGGCCGAGGGGTGGGCGCTTATTAGAGCGTGGGTGCTTATTCGAGGAAATACGGATATGCCTCAATTATTTCGAATCTTCCCGTGAACCCAAACTGTTTGCCCTAATTTTCAGAGTATACAAGACTTTTTGAGGAGATTTCTGTGAGGAATAATGTCGAAGAAAATCACTGTCTCCCTCGCTTTCATGTGTTTCATTCGACTCACAGTGAACGCTGCACTGCGCCACTTCATTTTGCCCTCTTTTTTATTACAAACCATGTGATCAGATGCAATCGCTTCGTTAAATCGCCCAGTTGATTTACACATTTACACCGAAGCTGAATTAGTTTAAATATTTTCTGGAGAATGCGCTATATCAAGTAATAAATTATTATTATTATATTATTATTTAATAAAACACTGAATTATTCCATTCACGCTTCCCCACGCGCCGAGTTGGTCATACCTCATATCCAACGCGCGCTCATGAAATAATTGTTAATAATATAACAGTTAGCCCAGAAAGTTACTGATGCGTGTGATAAAAAATCGGGGCATTTTTTTCATGTCCCTGGCTCTGATGGACTCATAATGTATAGACCGGTTTGCATTTGAGTAGAGCGGTTTTCAATTGAGTGTCGAAAGTAATCCATAATTGCTTTGGTTTTGCTTTGCTACGCTCTGTGATTGGTTTAAAAAACTCGCGCCACCTTCTCAACCAATCAGATGCAAAACCAAAATCGACTTGGTCACACGCGTTTTCCCGCGCTTTGGCGCCGGTTACGTGTATTTGCTTCGTGTTCTCATTGGTTCATTGTTTGTTTTCGTTTGTTGTGATTGGCCAATGTAATTGCTTTAGTTTTTGGTTTCACAAACACTCAATTGAAAACCGCTCTAATTGGTTGAGAAGATAGCCAATGAAAAAAGCGTGGCAATGGCAACATTACGTTTGACTCTCAATTGAAAACCACCCTATCACCATTGTTCACTTTAATATTTCATCTGTAATCATTTTCTCTTAGAATTTGGATAAAAGCACTTCAGGATTACTGGAAACATACGCTGATGCTCGCATGTTTGGGAACATTGTGTATGATAGCGATTTCCGTTTTAATCCATCGCGGAATACATGGGAAGTATGGCATAGGAATTCATGGACTTAGCATCATCTTTTTAGGATTGCTCCCTTTCTTTGCCATATTCGTCGTACGCCTAAGTCAAATAAAACTTTTGTTGTGTCCCTCAATCACAGCATCTCTGTTACTTTTCGACATGTTTGGTTTTATATTATCTTTCAAGTAACGGCCTTTGGTGCGCACAACATCCAAACGTGACGCGTGAATTGTGCGCGAAACTTGTCGAGTTTGCGTCGTTCGCGGCGTCTTCGAACGTAACGTTGTGGTGGTTAACTCTGGGTGACCTTTTAGCGGTTTGAACGTGGTCGTGACACGCCAATTCCTTGGGAACACGATGTTGATGTTTGTATCACGCCTGAACAATTCCCAATGTTCGAAAAAGCTCTCAGGTCAAGTGTTTGGCCGTTTCCAACCGGAGGCAGTAAGCCTGAAGGCAGGACATTGGTATCTACCTATCGACATACCAAAAGCTCGGGCTGACAACTAGAGAAGCAGAAGGCGTGAACGTGGATATCTGGACTTGCCCGCAACTTTCTGGGAAATATAACACGCGTGTTGTATTGCAATGGCTTAATGAATGTCCCCGGCTCTTTGGAGGACAGACATTACTATATTGACAGAACATTATGGAAACTACTCCGAGGTCAAATACGCGCATCACAATACAATGTGCAGAATCTGGAATGGCTGAACATACAGAATTTGTTATCTGTAATTAACAATGTTAGCTGGCCCGGCTAAGCATGACGCGCATGGAATAACAACCAGTTGTCTCCAGCTCTGATGGAGAGTTTCTGGCTAATTCTGTAAAACGAAGTGGGACATGTTTAGCGGCCCAACATTCCCAGTGACAAGGGACGAAGGCCTTGCTGTAATATCTCAATGAGATAAACAGATTTAACCCACAGATTTAACTGATCAACCCTTTCACCCCAGAGTCAAACCTTGAGTCAATAAATGTGGTTCTAACTTTTCCCTAGTGTATGACTGTTTGTTTTTTGACAATTTTGGGAAATGAAATTTAAGATTTTTACTCAGATTTGAAACCGATTTAACCCAACGGCACATCAGCCATTGATTCTATGTGCTCTTTCTACCCCATAATACATTTCGGGTGTACGTAGCATTACGTCACCGATCTAGTGCATGTTGTTCTACAAGGGTGTGATGCTAGGCAAACTGTGAGGCCTTTGACTTCCGTCATTAGAGACTTTGCCACCTTTATTGTAGCGTTTATACAACGTCCTACTTTTGTATCAGCTAAAAAAAAAGGTTTCAAAATTTAAAATTATTGGTAACTGTATAGCCTGTTCCAGGCGTTCGGTTAGTGGAACAGAAACGGCTGAACGCCTGGAACAGGCTAGTAACTGTATTCAGTTGTCACGAGAATGGGACTGCAAAGAAAACGTGCTGAGTCCCCGAGGGAAGTCGAACCCAGTACCTTCCGCAGCACCGCTTGGATGCCGCCACTGAGCTTCAAGAGACTCGTGACGAGCTATTGTAGGTCATTTACTAGGTTCATTATTGGTCACTATTGTCTGTGAAAGGGGTGTTCTCTTCTATCATTTCTCCCAAGTATATATACTCGTGTCTCGTACTTCAGAATAAGGATATTGGCTTAGAAAAGCACGAGACTATTTGTACAGTCACAATAACATGATTGGGAGGCGCGGGTGACGTAATGGTAAGCGCGTTGGACTCCGGATCGAGCGGTACGGTTTCGAGCATTGGCCGGGGCACTGTTGTGTTCTTGGGCAAGACATTTAACTCTCACAGTGCATGCCTCCTCCACCCAAGAGTATAAAATTACCGGCGAACTGTCAGGCCAACCTGACACAATTATGTGGGGGATTTACCTGCGATGGACTAGCATCCCATCCAGGGGGAGTACGTAGCAATACTCCTAGTCACTTCATGCTACGGAAACCGGAGTAAAGCGCCAGCACTGATGAGCCACTTGGCTCCTCTGATCCATTGGATTGGAACAGACTTGACATGACAACGAAAGTTGGCAAGAAGCCTCACGTCAGATTTTTTTATGAGGTTAATTTACCGTCGTTTTACATGTTTCGCGCGCAGATCAAATGAGCAAAAGCGAGATCAGAGTCGACATCATCACTCTGTCAAACGAGCCAAACCTCTCGTCGTCTCTCACGAGAATTTGAACAGGTTCAAATTCGATGAGAGTTTGAACTATCGTAGCTTTATCGTTGATTTCGACCTTTAGATAAAATTAAGAAATCTGTCAGTGTTCAAAAAGCTTATTTACATAAGTATTATAATAGGGCTAGCTATTTACTCTTCAGAGTATTTGTTACTTATACTACCCCCCTCCCTGCAGAACTTGGCCATACTTCTGAGATATTTTTATACATGAATGCGCCGTTGTCCCTGTGGGCTAACATAGCAGTTATTAGTTTGCGTGAGGCATCAACAAAGCCGTAAGGCTGCTACGTGCTTCTGGAAGGTTTCATTACTATCAGCGAGAAACCGCACCCCCCCCGGATTGACAGAGGCTGCTGGCTCTTCAACCTCCACTTTTCACGGTAATAGTTCGGGGGGCACCTGACACAGTCGCATTTAGTCTCCTGTGGGGCAGTACCCTCAAGAGGGGCTGGGCTTGCTTCCTTTTCAGCGGACGTTGTGTTATTTTCACTTTTAACTGTCCACGCGAATCGTGTCGGATGCCACTTCTTCCGACATCGGAGCCTCCGATAACACTTCGGCTACCATCGGACGTCTTCGTGGGAGTCGGTGTTTTATCCGTCGGCTTTCTTCGGAAAGCGAATCTGCGGGTAATCTCGCGAAACTGCGTCGGGCGTTTTCGTTGACCCTCCGATTGCTAACGAAGTATTTATTTTCCTTTTTTCTCGCTATTGGAGGTGACAAGGTTTGTTCTAATGGCGTCGGAGGCAGCTTCGGTGTCGGAGCCCGAAGTTAGATCGGTGCGGGGTCGGTTCCCGATGATCCTTTCGGCGGATGCGAAAATGAAGTATTGGACGAAGAGGTCTGGTAAAAAAAAGATATTTTGAAAAAGTCAGTCTACACGCAGTGCAATGACAGATTAATAATGCAATCATGCAATGTGCAATCAGTGCAATCCGTGCAATGTGCAATCAGTGCAATGTGTAATCCGTGCAATACAGGCTTCGCTCGTGCTTCTGTAGAATTGCGGTGAGGAAAAAAAAGGTGTGGCGTAAGTCTTTCCAATCCCCCCTCCGTTGTGATTGAGCACTCGCTAACCTGACGCTTGTAGTGCAAGGCTACGCTGAGAAAAGGGTTGTGATTTGGCCATAAGTAACTCCATTCTTTACAGGAAACTGTGGTAGTCCTTTAATAAACATCCTTACGAATGTTCATGCTTAAATGAAGTACAGTGGAACCTCTATTTTGGGACACTGCCATTAAGGAGACACATCCTTAAAGGGGGACACTAACTTTTTAAGGAAACCTTACTTTATATAATCGTTGTAATCTATTACCTCTATTAAAGGGACACCGCTATTAAGGAGACACATCCTTAAAGGGGGGACACTATTTTTTAAGAAAACCTTACTTATATAATCGTTGTAATCTATTACCTCTATTAAAGGGACACCGCTATTAAGGAGGACACATCCTTAAGGGGGACACTAACTTTTAAGGAAACCTTACTTTATATAATCGTTGTAATCTATCCCTCTAATAATGGGACACCTCAAGGGGCACTTCTCCTTGTCTCGAGGTGTCCTTAATGGAGGTTTCACTGTAGTAATAATTATGAGTACCATTACCTGAGGTTTGACGTGCTGCTGGCAATATTTCAAAGCCTGATCCAAGAGAGATGAAGGCGACTCGGGATTTTCGTGCGCGAATTCAAATGACTCCCTGCGGCGGACTACGGTCAAGAAAGGAAATACTTCAGTATTATTAGGTGACAAAGATGTCGTATGTTTCCAAAGAGATGAAGTAATCAAACTACTTCACTGTGGCACTAGTTCCTTTCGCAGCCGTTATTTGTGTCGTCACGCAACGCGTCTAGACGCGTTTGCGTGACGAAATAACGGCTGCAAAGGAGACTACTGAGGCACTTGATTGGTTTTATTAAAATTATGAAAACAAACTCTGGCCAATCAGAGTCAGTATGTTAGTTTGACAGACAAGTTTGACAGAAAAGCAACTGTATGAATCAACCATCGTCAAAAGTAGTTGAAACAACTGAAACAAATTATTGCAAGGCTCGCACTACGGCAAAAACAGTTATTAAGGACGCTGCCTCCCTTTGTTACTGCACATACGTTTTTGCGCATAATTTATTGCGTCATTGGCGCGCGCTCGAGAGCGCGCGCGCATACAGAACATTGCGGGATTTCTTTCAGGCTAAGTTCGGCAGGGGAAATAAATGGTCGTTTTCTCCTAATAACTTACAAAAACGCTGTAGTGAACCCTATTTTTTTTGTTAAAAAAGGGAAGCGGTAGTCTATTCAACACATGATTAATTTTTTGTTGTGTGCAAAAGTTATTTAGACTGTATTTTGGCATACAGAGGAGAGCTGTCAGGGTTGATAATGGCTACGTTGCGATGATTTTTAATTAAAAAACACACAAACAGTAGTGTTGCTTTTGTGTTTGTAAAGGCAATTCAAGGGAATTTGCGAAGAAATACTTTTTTCTTCCTTTTTAGCCCTTGCTAAGACCTGCTTTTCCCGCATAATAATATAATAATTAAAATTTATATAGCGCAATTTCATATCATGATCAAATGCGCTTTACATGGATAAAATGATAAAAATTAAAATATATATATACAAAATTTACAAAACATGTAGTAGCTAATATTAAGAAATAAAAACTAAAATATAGAAGTTACAAGTTAAAAGCACGTTTTAAAAAGGAATGTCTTAATATTACGCATAGTAATAATAATAATAATAATAATAAAAAACCTTTATTTAACCACGGGTTTCATTTCACAATTGTGCTCTTCCACGAGCCGTGCAGATTAAATAGTCATAACCGCGCAAAAATACTATGGTATTAAGAGGCACCGTCCTTAATAATACAAATATGTTTTGTCACAGACCCCTTTCCTTTGCAATATCCCAATTGAGAATATCAATTCTCCTTACAGATTGTCATACATTTCTTTTGATGAACGTTCTGAGAATTTTGTGGTACATCAAGAGAAACATCCCATATTTGATGACAGAGGTCTCTGTTGACGATGTCTTAATTCTCATCACTAAACACGCCATGACATTCAATCTCGGTCGATAAAATTCAAGTTGCGCGACCGTGATGTTTCAATATTATCAAAAAAATATAAATTGTACCCCTAGAAAGTGTCTGTGGCCGCTTACGGGAATGTGCATGTAAATAAAGAGTTTTTTATGAGAGTTCAACGGGGTTTTGTCAAGGCGGCCGTAAGTAGAGCTGTCCGCTTACGAGAGTATCCGCTCAGAGAGCTTCGACTGTAATAGCTATAATTTAAAATCACTCACTTTGGAAGCCATTAACATCTCAAAAGCCTGTGTCAGCAAACTCTCGGTCACCTAAAGAAAGAAAGGGAAAAATCAACCGAGGCCACAACGCGCTGCAATACTGGGTCAATACTGTCGGCACTCAGTTTATGAAATGGTCAGAACCTTCAAAAGTATTAGAAATACATTAACTTGGCTAAAGATTTAAGACGAGTTTAGGACGAGTTTAATTTCGGATGTTTATTGCCGTGAACAAATAATTTTTCATGTAATTTCGGACAGAATTTATACTGATTATATTTAGCACACTGTGCCGTTGGCGGATCCAGGAATTTTTGATTAGGGGGGGGGGGGGGGTCCCCAGGTTTTCCCGAAAATGTGAAGTACGTAGAAGGAGATTTTTTGGAAGTAGACTGCAATAGTTTATTACTAAACGCTTCTACATGGGGCGAATGGGGGCGCTCCCCTCCATGTGGGGTGTTTGGGGGCGCTCCCCAGAAAAGATTTGAGATTTCAGTCTCTGAAATGCCTTTTGGTGGATCCTGGAGATCTTGCTATGGATAACGTTTGAAGCAAAAAAAAAACCCACAGGTCTGATAGGGGGGGGGGGGGGGGGGGGGGGCAGACCCCCCCCTGGATCCGCCAAAGCTTGATGCAGCTGCGAGGCAGTTCTATAAGTGGTGTTCCAAATAGTCCAGTCCAGTTCCCAGTTCGCTCGTCTAAAAAGCCTGTGAGGATACTGTAAGAAATGCTCCATAACATCGAAAATGGCACTTGATCTTAGCCAAAAGGCCGAGAAAAATTACAGTCAAAATACTCAGCGCGTCGCGTAATAATGATTATGCTTCCATAACGCAATATTTAATACTTTGATTATTGAATTGAAGATTCGAAATTTCAACTGAATAATGCAATCATTCGATCACTTTATAGCAAGTGTCTGAATTTCCTCTTCGCTTTAGCAGCTTTTCGACAATAGCATTGAAACATATACTACAGGAAGAAGATACATAACAAATTATTTGCAAAGTGGAAAAGCCAAGCGTGACAAGGGTGGTTTCGTGACTATCCTGCGGTTTTGCAAATATGCAAATTTAACTGTCTGGTTGAATGAAAAGCCGTCGCATCAAGGCAAGTCTTTTTCATCAAATCTCTTAATTTCCACTTTGTTTTCAGATTTACTATCACCTCTCTCACGGAGATGTAAGAGCTATTTTGCCATTAATCGAATCAACACTCGAATGGACGCTATGGTTGAATGATTGCATTATTCAGTTGAA